GGTACCTACAAATTAAAAGCAATATTTAATTGTATTCTAAGTATGTAAGCAATTCTACATAATACCACTAGTAATATTCTTAGAACATCGTTTCATATTTTTTTCTAAGAATGACGTGTTACCTGTATTTAGAAAAATTCGTACTGGAACAACCTTATAAAAGTTAATAATTTAAAGAGATGGGTACACCTTTTTAATATTATACTTGCGCCTAAGAAAATAAATGCCAAATGTTTTTATAATATTATTGTATTGAAGGAAATAAAAAATTCACAATGAGAATAACACCTCGATATTTAATTAGGCGTAGAAAACAAGTGCTTAATCTCATTACCATAAAATGTTTCATTTGAAAAATTCTTTTCTTGAAGGTATAAGTAATTATACTCACGTGTAATTAGTTATACATATATATGTAGATAAATAACACTACAAGTTTTATTTTTAAAATCTGGACACATCTACGAAAAATACGTTCAAATAACATTAGAATTAATCTTTGTTTATTTAACTTTGTATTAAACATTTAAATTATTCGTTAGTATAATCCTTCATCTGTTCCCGAGATAAAAATGTTTAGTCTCTCAGTCTCTGAAAGCGAGACTCGTGTCTCCGTCTCTCATCGAATCTCTGTTGTCGCTGAGATAGACTGTCGAGAGACTGTCAAAAAAACTGTTTAGCGTCTCTGAACGAGAGACTCCAGTCGCTCATAGAGAGATCCTTATTTCGTATCCAGTCTCTGAAGGAGAGACTCGAATCTCTCAATAAGTGGTGTCTCGATAAACATGATTAAAATTTTCTAAGTTTAACATATTTCAGAGATCCCAGACTTTCTACGAGAGACTCAAGTCTCTCAATTTTTCAGTTTTATTCATTCAGTCTCTCTGTGAGAGACTCGAATCTCTGAATTAACAATTTTATCGTTCGAGTCTCTCATACAAAGACTGTGAGAGATTCATAAAGCAATAATTGACAAACTGTGAAAGACACTCTCAGAGACAATGAAAGACTGAGAGACTGGAAAGAGACTAAAAATTTTTGTCTAGGGTTTTTACTATTGTGGGATTTCCTTATTCAATATTTGAGGGATTTCAGTATTAGCCTCTATTTTTCTATAGTTGCTAACTTTCCATAATTGCCTACAATAAAGACAAATATTCAATTAATCTAGTTAATAATTAATTGGATCATTTGTTTTTATTTTAATAAAGCGGTAAATAATGTAATGTACTAAATTAACAGAAAATCAAATAGTTTAAACATTTTTATTAGTGAATTCATAAGTGTACCTGTTTGCGCGTTAATAAAGTGAAAAGTATGTAATTGACTAAATTCACAAAGCACTTAAGCGACTGGTTACAATTAGTACAGATGACCTTATGATAGTGTGAACAATGGCAGGAAAACTTAAAGTGTCGGTAAAAGTAACAAAAAGTATCATTAGTTTTATTGTAATTATTAGAGACTGCACCAACTTTAACATCACTATTTTATTATATGGGTCAAAAAAATGGCAGAAGAAAATAGTAAACTGTTTTAAATTGATCGTAATGAAGTAGGTTTTGTTATATTTATAGTCCAATGCAATTATAATTTTCTCTGTCAAGTCGAAACCTAATTTCGCTAGACTATTAAGTATATTTCCCATTTTAAAACCATAAAGGCGTGTTGTTTTTACTTTTCCTGTATTAGTAAAATCGTATCTATTCCTTTCTTGTGTAAATATAGGGTTGTTCGGAAAGTCATTTCATTTTTTGTTGTGGAAATGAAAGACAGTTTTCGTATAATAAACAAATACTTTATTAAATTATATATTGACCGTTCTGGTCCAACACCTTTTGCCATCTTTCTGGTAGTAGCATAATTCCACGCTCATAAAATTTTTGGTCTTTGCTGGCAAAAAACTGATCG